AATGTTAACATAAAGAATTAAAGAAACCAAAAGTTGGGTCATATGAAGACATTCTAACCTTCTATCTTCCTTTTATTTGCTGATATTGGTTTTGGTAGTTTCGAGAATGTCACTTAATCGTTGAACATGAATGGTGCTTATCATGCTTTGAGCTGGAAACTGTAGGTGAAGTTATCAGACATAAAAAGAATATGCTTCTATAATTATTCTTTGAAGATATTATTAAGTGCAACAGTGGTTGGGCTGCTTGTGCTAATAAGGAGATCTCATGCTTCTCCAATGCCAAACAAAGGTTTTCATAGCCTTGAAACTTCCATAGTTGAGCAGTGATGTTGAAAACGTAGAAAAAGGCTGAAAATCATCACTGATAACTCATGAAGTGCGTGAATGTTTGCTTGTAAGATACTTCGTTCTTTTGTGTTTCTTGCTCCACAAAATTTACTTTCACTCTAATTTTCATTTTCCTCACAAAGATGGCATTTGAAGGAAGAAAATTGAAAATAAGTATGAACCAAAACCATAACTAAATTTCAGTTATTTCTGAAAATCAAAGTAAAAAACAAATTAGAATATCTCAATGAATATAGCAGAAGACTTACTAGTAGCTCAAAATTGAGGAGTCTTCAATGCAACTTCTTTGAAACTTTGAAGTACCAACTCATCATTGACTGAACCTACCTACTTTAATCCATCAAACATCAAAGTCTTGTTTTTATTTATTTATGGACGCCATAAAAAGTCAACATCAAATTTTTGTTCCTTCTTATTCTAAGGAGACCATTAAAAAGTCTATCTTGCCTCGTAGTATTTTATCTTGAGATATTTTTGATTATTGATTTGTGACATTTCTATAACTAGCTCCTTCCTTCTTGTTTTGTTAATCTCTCTGTGAAACCATCTGTCATGAATTGTGTAGGCTCAACCTTGGGTTCTTTCTTGGCTGAGATAGGGCGTGGTATTTGCACATCAACTTATTCTCGGACACCATCCGGTTCAAGTCAAACATTATTGCTTTGAAGAATGCGCTCAATGGCCTTGTAGAACTCCAGAACAAAGTGAATAAAGACCTCAAAACCTTCGAAATCAAAGGGAAATCCTTGCAAGTGCAACTGAGGAGATGGCTAAGAGATGTGTGGAAGACATCGTCTCGGAAGCAAATTCAATGCAGGAAGGACGTGTTTCATGTGCTCTGTCCTTGAAATGCAGGCTGAGCAAAAAACTTGTGGTAATTCTTGAGAAAGTCAAGAGGCTTGAGAAGCAAGGCGTAGAGATTCTCGACATATTCTCTGTGGAAGGTAAATCTGAACTAGTTGAAAAAATCCTTGGACCCTCAATTCCTGATAAAACAGTAGCATCAGAGATGTTAGTCAAAGTTGTAAGCTGTTTGATGAGCGATAAGGTTCAGAAGATCGGTGTTTGGGGTATGGGTGGGGTCGTGAAAACAACACTTGTTAGAGAACTGAACAATAAGCTATGGAAAGAAGCTGCCACGCAGCCTTTTGGTAGGTGATATGGGCTACAGTTTCCAAAGAGTTTGAATTGGGAAGGGTCCAGAAGCAAATCGCCGAGAGATTGGATATCGAAATCAAACTAGGCGAAAACGATGAGAAACTAGCAAGACGAATTTATGGAAGGCTTGAGAAAGTAAGTAGTTTTCTTCTCATTCTTGATGATGTGTGGAAACCAATTGATTTAGACCAGTTGGGGATTCCAGAAACAGATGGACACAAAGGTTCAAAGATTGTCTTGACTTCTAGATTTTTAGAGGTTTGCCAGAGCATAAGAACGGATATTGACTTCATAGTGGATTGCTTATGTGAAGAAGAAGAAGAAGCTTGGGAATTGTTTTGTCAAAATGCTGGAGAAGTAACCAGTTCAGATAGTGTTAGACCCATCGCAAAAAAAGTTTCTCGGGAATGTGGTAGATTGCCTTTGGCTATCATCACGGTAGGTATGGCTATGCACGGGAAGAAGATGGTCAAGCTGTGGAAACATGCCCTTAAGGAACTGAAGCGTTCGTCAGTGCCTTATGTCAAGAGCGTTGAAGAAAAGATCTACCAGCCTTTGAAGTTGAGCTATGACTTGCTCGAGAGAAATATGAAATCTTGCCTCCTCTTCTGTGCCTTATTTCCAGAGGATTACTCAATTGAAGTAGCAGAGCTTGTAGGTATTGGATTGCCGAAGGATTCATAGATGAAACAAAAAACCATGGTTACTTAATGAATCAAGGAATTACCTTGGTAGTGGTAGAGAATCCGAAAGACTCTTGCTTTCTAGAAGTGATGACAGAGTAAAGATGCATGATATGGTTCGCGATTTTGCCATATGGGTAATGTCTTCCTCGCAAGATGATAGTCGCTCTCTTGTCATGTCTGGTGTAGGATTGCGTAAGACAAGTTTGTTCCTTCTCTTAGAAGAGTTTCTTTGATGAACAATAAGTTTAATAGGCTCTCTGGTCAGATGGTAGGGTGTGTTGAACTTGAGAGACTGCTACTACCTTGAAGAAGTTCCTTCCCTTGAAGGCCTTACAATTAAAAATTCAAGTTCTGGAGAAAATTTAAACAGCTTGAGACTACTTGACCTCTCCCGAACACATCACCTCGAAAGCATTCCAGCTGGAATCATCCCACAGTTATCAAGTTTAGAGGTTCTAGACATGACGCTTAGTCATTTCCATTGGGGCGTCCAAGGACAAACTCAAGAGGGGCAAAGCAACACTTGAAGAGATTGCGTCTCTCCATCGTTTATCGGTTCTTTCAATCAGGGTCGCATGTGTTTCACTTATTTCTCCTGAATATAATTCTTGGATAGAAAGGTTGAAGAAATTTCACTTGTTTATTGCCCCAACGGCAAACTCCTTACCTACTAGACACGACAAGCGGAGAGTAACAATAAGCAGTCTCAATGTTTCAGAGGCATTCATTGGATGGTTGCTTGCGAATACAACCTCCCTAGTGATGAACCATTTCTGGGTTCTCAATGAGATGTTGGAGAACTTGGTAATCGATAGCACGAGTCGCTTCAAACATGTTGAGGTCTCTAACTGTAGAGAGTTTTGGTGGAAGTATAAGGCCTGCTGGTGGATGTGTAGCGCAGCTGGATCTTTTACCTAACCTCGAAGAACTTCATCTGCGTCGTGTATATCTGGAAACCATTAGAGAGATCGTGGGTCATCTGGGGTTGAGATTTCAGACACTGAAACATGTAGAAGTCAGCAGATGTAGCCGGCTCAAATGCCTTCTCTCGTTAGGGAACTTCATCTGTTTTCTGCCCAACTTACAAGAGATACATGCTAGCTTTTGTGATAGGCTTCAGGAATTGTTTGACTATTCTGCAGGAGAAGTTTCAGCCTCTGCCGAACCTGTGGTACCTGCTCTGCGTGTCATAAAGCTGAGAAATCTTCCGCGGTTGAAGAGATTATGTAGCCAAGAAGAGTCATGGGGATGTTTAGAACATGTGGAAATGATAAAATGCAATCTTCTTAAGAATCTGCCCATTAGTTCAAATAACGCTCATAGAGTCAAAGAAGTAAGAGGAGAAACACATTGGTGGAACAACTTAACTTGGGATGATAACACTACAAGAGAAACCCTTCAACCTCGTTTTGTACCAGTTGACAGAAATATTTCAACTGGTTCTCTTGGAATCTCTTGCTAACAAAGCTCCAGCGAAAACTAAGAGAGAGATTAGAAGCTTCTCCAGTTTCTTGTAATATACCAGCTTCTCATGGCTGAAGAGCTTTTGTAGCTACAATGTAATCATGGATCTACCGAAGCTTTTATGGATAATAGTTGGCTCACTCCCAATCTCCTGTCACCAGAGCTTCGGCTCAATCTAGTAGAGAGAGCATGAGGCTTCTCTAGTTTCAAATCAAAAATCTCATGGTTGCGGAGCTTCTAGAGGGACGATGTAGTCCTCGACTTGCAGAAAGTTTCAGGTTCAAGCAGTTACCTTCAAATTGTGAAAAATTTTCAGATTTGAGCAGTGGTTCCTCTTAGCCACAGTGTGGTTTTGATGACCCAATATACCTCAATATTACTGATATCTTCAGTGATCCAGCCCCAACTTTGGTTCTTCCGCAAGTTATGGTTTGTGTCATTGATTTATATTTGATCTTGTTAATCATAATTTCTCTTCAATCATGTATGTTGGGTTTTGCCTTTGTTTGAAAACTGTTAAGTTTTGGGATTTGATTTCTAATAAGGGCTAATAAAGAGGGTTTCTTCCTTTTCTTGTTTTGTACGTTATGATTTCTACGCAATGATGATTTTCTTCATAGAAACAGAGCCCGAGCAATGCAGGCCAGTCACGAAACAACAACAAAAAAATCAAATTTTTCTTCATATATTCACACAAAGGGGAACAAGATATCCTTGCAAATACTAGTCTACAACTAAACAGATTCCATTACTGCGAAGGAAAGAAAAAGTAAACAACAGTCAAAAGCATCTCCTACTAACATTTCTTGTTAGCTCAGACATGAAACCATTTTGCAGCAACATGGTAATAGACCTCCTCCTCTAATCTTCATCAGTAGGCTTAGAAGGACCAGCCTTCTTGCAGAGAAGGAGACTGTGGATGTTAGGCATCACTCCTCCATTAGCAATGGTCACCTCTCCAAGTAGTTTGCTTAGTTCTTCGTCGTTCCTCACAGCAAGCTGAATGTGTCGAGGAACTATACGGGTCTTCTTGCTGCGTTCCCAGCTAGCTCAAGAACCTGGACAAATTAATGTTCAGTCCCCAAGAACCCATTTTACATATCCAGAGCACAAATTAAAAGAACAACAACAAAAAACACTTTAGACTCAATTTCGATCATCAGCATCAAATCTTCCTAATTTCACAAATTTAACGAAATGGGTTAGGAAAATCGTAGATTCAGAACAAGCAAAGATTGAATTGAGACTTAAATTTCGCACAAATTTAACGAAATGGTTAAGAAAATCGAAGATCCAGAGTCCTAGAAGCGATCGATGTAAGTGAAACAAAAAAAAAACAATCATTTCCGACAAAATGAAGAAAATTGAACAGATGAGAGACAAAGATGTTGTGTTTACCTCGGCGGCGAGATAGACCGGCGGCGAGATAGACCGGAGCTCCGGCACCAACACGCTCGGCGTATTTGCCTGCTTTGAGGAATCGAGCGATACGACCAACAGGGAATTGAAGACCAGCCTTGCTACTACGAGTTGTAGCCTTCTTCACCGCACCAGATCCAAGTGTTTTTCCCCAACATTTCTACAACCAACAAAACAAAAAAAGGGGGAATAAATCTAGAAACGAAAGATAGAAATTAACAGTAATGATTAGTTTATTAAAGAGAAACCCGCCATAAGTGTTGATTGATATAGGCTTCGAATGGTGACACCTGTTTGGGCGGTGCGGGACAAACGGTTTAAGA